AGTATTTTTACATTCACAGCTCATCTCCATAATGACATCGAAACAGAGCTTTAGATTACTTCGCCATTCTTAAGTATAATAAAGGGAAATGTATTCACTGTATTGCGGTGTAAAATAAAGGCTGACCGTACTTTATGTCAAAAGTAACTTAAATGTAAATTTTGAAAAGTGTCACGTCAATAGAGGCTCGGCGGAAATGTAAATATAAAGTATACACAATACCTTTCGGTCATGCAATATCCATTCTTTTTGACAACCAATTGAAATAGCGGAACATTCTTATGAAATCTGCAGTGCGTAAATTGTTGATTTTGAAACACACCCAGATTTATATCAGAATCTGACGTCTGATCTTTCGACGGAGGTCCAAGTCCCTTCTTCAAAGCGCAACCTACATCATTAAAGTCTTCATGAAGAGCCCGTTCCTATAGAACAAGGTAAGGTAGGACAATTTCAATTGAAATTTTATAACCGTTATGTTTATGTACAATACAAACTTCGTTCACGATATGTTTTTCCTGTTGACGTTTTTGAGTCTCCACTCATCAGTACAGAAGAACGATCTCGGTTTACAAGTCTCACTGAAATTTAGTCGGTGGTTGGAAGCGTCAAAGCGAAGAAAACGTTTTCAAGCTTGTTATTGATTAAAAATGATTTTGATTATCGTTTGATAGCTTAGAAATGTTTCTGTTTCCTGTATTGGCGTCCATAAATAATGCAAATCTTTAAAATTGATTGCTTTCTTTACTAGAAGCACCACCAAACAAGATTGTTTTGTGCATGTATCAATGCATTAATTGTTGCTTCTACTTTTTCTCTTACCAATTAAAACGATACAACACACAATTTCTCAAATCAAGATGATTTTCAAGTACTGTCGAAAAGTTCCTGTAAGCGATATAATCACTGAAGAAGAACAAGAAGTCAAGTAAACAAAGTTTAGAAGATTGTAGATTGTAATTTATTGCATAAATTAAATAAGAATGCTTTACTTTAACTTCGCAAGAAAGCGTAACGGCAGTTACTATTATTTAGTGCAATAGCCTTGTGATAGAATTGAATTTTTCCCGAGAAAAAGCCAATATTAATTAATGGAACTTAATTTATGAAAATATGCCAGTTATTTTGTCATCACGGCGGGCTACCATTTCTATTTGCTTGASTTTTGATAAATGGAGTTAATAAAGTATACCTTGGTTGAAGAAAATATTTAGATGCTATTGTATTTAAGGTACCGTGATAAGGGAAGTCCCAGCTATTTGTGTTCCTGTATCTATCACATATTAGGAATAAATATTTTTAATAAAAATACGGCTTTCACCACATGGTTCCAAATATCTCAGTTAATGGAAATTATTTTAATCGAAGTTTTCAATTAATCGATTGAGTAAGTGTTTTCGCTAACCATTAATACTGAGATTTCCAATAAATGAAGTTTTAACTGAAAACAAAGGGGGATCCAGGGGGGTCCATAAAGCTTCCCTAATTCCCTACACTCGCAAATATTACGCACTTTTAAGCCAATTTTGCAAATATATACAATGATTAGCATTTGAAACAATCACTTTTACTGCAAAAAAAAAAATGACAAATTACTGAACCCGTCCCTGGATTAGATGGTATCACCCACAATACAGTTCGATCACTTCTYTCTCAATTCTATTTTAAATACAGAATCAATTCTTATATAGTCCATCGTGCGTGAACACACCCAGATTTATAGAATCTTGTTTGTGTGCTGTGGAAAAGGGTCCAAGACGCTTCTCAATTCAGAGCAACAAGTCTCACTTGACTATGTAAGTACGCATTAAGTGTCACTTTCCTTATACAGAAGGTATAATACAAAACAAGTGAAATTGCAATTCAGTCAATGTATGACCACTAAGTTGTACGCGATACAAAGTGAAGTTCGTTTGAACTTTTGAGTATGGTCTTAAAATTCTTTACTGTTTGGAGCGGATAGATGGAATTTCAACGTGATCACGACATTTCAAAAATAAATTAATTGAAAGTTTGTTTCTTTTTGTCTAGTAACTGTCGCATGTTGCAAATCCTTCAACAATGCGCCTCCATAAAACAGGAAAATACCATAGATTGCTAGTTAGATAGTTAGATAGATAGTTTTTCTTTGGAAATAAGATGATACGAATTTGTCACTTTTGGTTTTCCAATTCAAAAGACAAATATTAAAACAAATGTTAATTGCGATGATTTTTCATGCATCAAGCGATGGATGCACTGATGAAGAACAACGTCGAAGTAAACAACGGCAATGATAGACTATAAATGTACACTGGCAATGCACAAATCCGATCAAAATTGTTTTATTTTAACAGTTTCCACTACACAGTAAATGCAGTTATTAGTTTTTCGATATTTTTGTGTAATACTGACTGGGTTTTTTCAGTGTACCGACCGACACCAAWATCGTACAGTGCAAAGTATGACAACAATGTAAGTGATTCTTTMAAAGCGGTCTTGCCATCTCATCGTTGGAGAACTGATRAACAAAGCCAATTGCCTTGGATAATAAAAATGTAGAATTCTGCGTAAAGGACCAAGTCAAGATAGTGAGTCATGGATGAAGAAAATGCTTGGAAACCGATCATACAAGGTAAAAGACAGAAAAATCCAAACTTTGAAAACATGATATCCAATCTGATTTTATTGTTTGTTGCTTGCTTGCTTGTTTGCTTGCCTCCTTTATTTATTTTTAGAATATTCTGTAACTTTTGTAACATCATTMTTGAAATTCAGTACCAGTTATGATTCTTTTATTTGCTGAAACCTTTAAACGTTTTAGTTTTAGATTAAAGCTTTAAAAATGTGGCAAAGAAAAAGCAAGGATGATTCTGAGAATCTTTTAAGAAAGCTGTATTTTGAAGACGCTTGGATAACAGGTGAGTTAGAACTCTATGAAGTTTATATTTCATATAACATAGCATCATTAATTTGAATTAGATATGAAAAGAGTCATTTGTAAACAAAAATGATGAGCCTATTTCAAGGGTCGAATACACGGTCGTGGAACGTTCGAACGTCTAGGATGGGGCTGGAGCTCATGTTTCTCAAGAGCTGATCCCCCGCCAATTAATAACCGCACATAATTAACACTACATTTTATAGTGTTTATCAAAACATGACATTAAAATTTAGCTAAAATATCAATAAAAACGCTGATTGAYTGCATGSAAGATCTTGTGCACATTATCAAAAAGAATTTAAGGTTAGCTTGAGCTTCTAAAATTCTGTAGCCKCGGCTTTTTCATTCCCAATCGCACGGTGTTGGGTTTTTTGTTGAGGTATAAAGAATACCCATTTCCGATTGACAGAAAATTCGGTACCTGTATGGAAATGCATTTTTAAGATAATGCTGGTTTTGAWTGATTTTGGACTCATCGCGCACGCTTTTCTGCATGACAGTGACTGCACATGTTTGTACAACAATTTGTCAGTATCAATGAAACAGAACGCAATAAAAATGAATTTACATAGTCTCATTGATTCATCTTCCTGGGTGATTGATTTGCGACCAGGCCTGTATATGAATTCGCCAAGGTTGTAAGCCAGTGAGCCCGTGCATTTTTGTTAAGCGGTCATATTTGAAAGTGTAAATAAAGAAAGGGAAAACCCGCATCTCGCCTTTCACTCAGACAAACAGTACAAGTCGTGTTAAATTTATTTACATAACTAAACAAAATGATTATAGAATTAAACCTTTAAGAATTGAATGCTCATATGAAACCACCTTAAATACACACGCGTGGGAATTTAGTCGAGCTTTTTTCACGATGGAATTTTGTTTTGAGTCGTTTCGACATAAACAGTCGCTATCAAGACATTACACGAAAAACCCCAGTCACCGTTCTAGCTCTAGTTGTAAGGTCAGAGTTAGTAAATGTGTAACTGGCCTGTTACATAACGTCAAATCGTCGAGCACGCTTGCGGCATATTGCCGAAAATGCGACAAAGAATTAACTACGACCGTTGTTTGTACCAAAAATAACAAACGCTTTAACTCTATTGGAATACGTGGACCTAAGCTGCTCTAGCTCTTCCAGTGATGTTGTAGATACCTCAAACTGCTCAAAGCTTAGAGGAAACAAGAACTAAGAAAAATGATTTGCAATGGTTCCTCCTAAGATACATTGGAGTTGAACGTCGCTTCAACGAACTTCTGAAGTCTTCGTGAAGTCGGTCATTGCTTCGCATGCAATGGAGAACCCGCGTAGAACACAGAACAATTACTTTTATCAGGGAGGGGAGTCTCGTGGTATTAAAGAAAAAGTTATTTGTTTTTTCATTTTTAAGATAAAATTHTCTTTCTATAACGCTAAATATTTGATTGACATTTAAAAGCTATTTTATAAAGATTTTCAATTTCTCTTTGCGTTTTAGCTTCGATTTTTCGGATAGAATAAAATGACAGGCAGCCTACTCCACTGGGTCGAGTTTTGCTGTGCAAATTCCTCCCGTCGGAGGGTTATGTTTACAACATAAGCTTGTCAGCTTTGCGCTGATTGGCTAGTCGCATTTTCTCAAATCACCCAGTCATTGTGTTCTGGTTCATTGATACTGACAAATTGTCTCTAAATAGCCGCTATTTGTTAGTATTTATTTTGATTTTATTTCATGGTTTTCCTGCGTTTGCTCTATGCTTCTATCTATAGAGTTTAATAGTCCACTTCGCGGATAATTCGAAATTTTACATTACGTCGTYATGGTAAATCATTGACATCACTGGAAAGAGCGTCATAAAATCAGCAAATTTGCCAAGTTTGGAAATAATCWGATTTAAATTCAAAGAGATACGGCACTTCAAAAACACTAAATTTCGCATAGAAATGTTTGGTGAGGTTGTGACAAGTCAAGGTCAACCTCAATCTCATGCCGACAGCCATACATTTCTTTGTAAAYTTTGCCGACTTTTAWACGCTGTATCTCCTTGAATTTTCATCGAATCATGCTAAAACCTGGTAAACATACTAATTTTATACTGTTCTTTCCAGTGGTGGTAATAGTTTTTCGATATTCGATATATTTCTAATAGCTGTGTTATCCGCGAAGTGGACTATTTTCTTCAGTTTGTATTATCAATATAAGTTACATTGTCCCGCACGCACGCGAGCCTGATCTTAAATAGGCTCTCCCCCCCTCCCCGTGGAAATTAACCGCGTTACAAGGCATAACCATTTTTCGTATCCGTTAAATGGGATGAGGGAGTATTGGGGATCCTGACAATATACCGGCTGCGATAAGACTGATTATACAGTACAGCTAGTGGAATGGCATATTCCATTCCTTATTCTCGAATGTTATATAGATCGTAGAGGCTGTCTTAAGGCTTTTTAATAACAAGATTCTTGAATAACAATAGTTGAGTTTCGCGATCTCTTTTACGCTGTGTTAGCCTCAATTGTGTGCTAAAATGTTCAGAAATTTAGATAAAACTAAGACTCTCTTGCATTTGCACGGGCTGTTGTGAATAAAAGAACTTATTACATGGTTTTGAGGCTAACACAGCGTAAAAAAGATCGCTAAAAGGGTGTATTGGATAGAAATCATGTATCTTGAAGTGTATTTTCAATGTAGATTAATGGCTACAAGCACTGGATCATCATTAAGAGAAAAGACCAATTACACCCGACTATGCAGACTTGTAATCGACATTGGATCAAGAGTGTTGAGAGGAGTCCTTGATGCTCATCTACATCCACCTGGMGATCTACAGAAACACCTCAACTCACCAGCTGTAAACACTAAACTAAAAAATCTCAGATCTAAGAAAGTTCTGAACACACAACAATGGRRCAAGYTATACCCACCARCACCAGGWGTACCATCGTCGACGACCTTCGACATAACATTGCTCTTCCTTCTCTTAAGAAATACCTGTGGTCTGACTSCACCTACTACAGGCTGGGATGCTGCCCCATCTCCAGCTGATGTTAGCAAAGAGGCKTATCTGATTCGAGTAAAACGATGCCGAAATGAAATCATTGGTCATAAAAGTGCCGCAGAACTCTCTGATGCTGATTTTGAAACCCACTGGGCTGAAATTGAGGCAGCAATGATAAGMCTTGGAGGATYGCAGTATGAACCAGAAATCCAGCGTCTGAAAATCGAGTCAATTGACCCAGAAAATGAAGCCGATTTGAAAGTTCTTATTCAGTCATGGGAAGAAGGCGAGGATAAAATATTGGATGCCATACTAAAAATGCAACGTTCTACATTATTCGAAGGTATTTCATATATACTTATCGATCTGTATGTAATATATACAATATGACCAGCCGATCTGTATTGGGAAATACAATGGCGAGCCGAAGGCGAGCCATTGTATTCCCAATACGGATTGGACGCGAATATTGTATATGACTTATGATATCCATCATTGAGCACCTAAAGTTATTTTTTCTTAACAATAGCTAAAAGCTAAAATGTGTTGTTTCTTAGTAATAATAGAAATACGTATTACAAAAGACATTGTTACATCGAATCTATTCTACAATGGGGTTATGTAACCATAGCTAGGTAATAGAACGATTTCACATAAGCGTTTTTAACATGCAAATGAGTTATTCGAGTATTTAACATGCAAATGAGTTGACGCCTAAGCCACAGATAGCCCAAACGTATTATCAAAGGACGAGTTACATCGTTTATCAATTTTGAATTTTATTCAGTATCAAAGTTCGTAATAATAAATACAATGCATTCCAACTCGACTCAAGTTTTCAAGGTAACAACTCATCTCAGGTGACAACTATTTTGCATGTTAAATACTCGAAAAACTCATTTGCATGTTAAAGACGCTTATGTGAAATCGTTCTAATGAAGCAGTTATTGTTTTCTTTTCCACGGACCGTATGTCGCATAATTTTTGCCCTCAGTTAACGTTCATCAAGCACTCAGAACAAGCTCGAGAATTATGTCTAACTTTAGAAGACCAAAAGACAAGAACGAAGACGAGAATTGGCTGCAGGATTCTTATAACATCTAATACCAAAAACCTACCAAACATACCAATTTTTCACGAGTGGCAACAAGCAAGGGAAGAAAAATAACACTCAGTAACAAAGGAGAGCGTTGGGTTTGGCTGTGATATCGATAATGTGTGCATAATCTATTTTTCAAAATCTATTTTTTTCAAAATTTATACTGTGTTTCCGGCCTTAACAGGCTTCTACAAAACCGTAGTATTCTATGTAGAAATACAGAATACTAATAGATCTATTAGTATTCTGTATTTTTAGATAGAATACTAATAGATCTCATTCTCTTTTGTTATTATTCATCAACCCCACCCTTTCCCTGCTCTGAATTCAAGCCCTCCCCGCGCTTTAAGATGTACATCTTTATAAATCGTTGTCGTATGTCACATGGCAAATCCCAGGATCCTTTGAAAATGGTCGCGTGAGTCTGGTCAATCAGTATTCCATCAATCGTTTTTCTTAGCTGCTCTAGCTCTGGTGAACCATTTTTAAAAGCGTGGATTTCGCTAGAGCATAAGCATAGGCATAAGCACGAGAGTCATATGCGCCAGTGAGAACTCGCTCCATATAAGCATAAGCATGAGCACATGAAAAACGAGCAAGGCTTGTGATCTGTTTGTGCTTATGTCATGCTTATCTCATGCTTATGCTCATTGAGAACGGGACTGCATAGGCATAACCATAGCCTGGTACCGAAATAATACGCTCGTGCGCATGCTCAATGTCTTATGTTTATGTCGAGCCCGTTCTCACTGGGGCATATGATTCTCATGCTTGTGCTTATGCGCTAGTGAAATCCACGCTTTAATGAATTTTTTTCTGGAGTCAGCCACACCTTTGTAAAGTTCTGGATTCCGCAACGTCAAAAAAGTAGCTACTTTAAATTTTATCTTGATTGCAGTCCATAACTCTGACCACAGCCTTGTACTTACAACGAAAAAGTGATAAGAAATTTATAACCTCTCTATATTTTTTCGCTATCTGTTGTGATCATGACATTATAATTATGATACCATTATATATTTTTGAAGCAGGCAATCAGTGTCTATATCGACTTATGGTGAAGTTATCTTTATCTGAACCTGAATTCTAACTCTTACTCCATGATTTTTCAATGGTTAGGGTACATTCAACAAAATAATACTTTTTCATTGATTCGAGAGGAATACAATTAGCATTAATTGAACTCCTTATAAATTTTGTTTAATTTCAATGAATGTACTATAAACAAAACATCGTACAACTCTTTGTACAATTTATAATTAATAGGCACTCGTAATATTTTGAAAGTTTTCAAAATGCATTCGCCCTCGGGCTCTCTTGCATTTACGAAGAAATTTTAAAACATTACTCGTGACTATTGATTATAAATGGTACTCAAGGTCGTGCGCCGATTTCCTATACAAACACGTATCAAATATTATGCAAATTAAATGTTTGGTTGTTTCTTTCTTCAGACTACCAACCGAAGCCCTTCTGTACTTTGCCTCAGAAGCCATCCCACGACGTTGTCCACCGTCTTGAAGAAGTATCCATGACACTTGACGAGATACGTCGACTCAGAACTGCGTTCCCGAATCATGTCACAGTAACATATTTRTCAGGAAATCCTGGCTGTGGAAAGAGCGAGCTTGCAAGACAGATTGGAGAAAAATACTTCGATGAATTTGAAAAAGAMGAGTCGTCCAAATTCGTGGCTACATTAAATGCATCGAGTCTCGAGAGTCTGATTCAGTCGTACATGGAACTGGCATTCCAGCTTCGATGCAGCGAAGTATCCCTGATCATGTCATCAGAAAAGAATTCTCAAGAACAGAAACTTGCTCAGTTGCAAGCGCTTGTAGTTCCAAAGTTTCAGAAATATTCCTCATGGCTGATTATTGTTGACAACGTTGAAGATATTAAAATGGTTTGCAAATTTATACCGCACTCAGGTCAAAAGCTGCTGCATCATGGAMAARGACATATCCTGATCACTACTCAAGACATMGAGTCTATACCAACAAGCGATTCGCATGCACAYCAMATYCAGCTTAAAAATGGTATGAARTTACATGACGCAGCTCAGACCCTGTATRMAATATCTGRRTTGCCATGCGACGAAGAAATCGCAAAKAAATTRTGCRAAMAACTAGACTTTCAACCTCTAGCGCTTGCCTGTGCAGCAGTGTACATCAGACAAACACRCTRCGCTGATCCAARCATGAACTGGGAAAGTTATCTTGAAAAMGTGGAGAAAGGAAATCTGATGTCGGCTGATGAGCTTTACGAGAAAACAAATCACCCTTACCAGAGATCTATGAAGACTGCTATTAAGATGGCAGTTGAAAAGATTTTAGAAAAAAGTGAGGTTGTACGGCATACATTTGAATTTATGGCGGCTGTTGCCCCAGAGTTCATATCACTAGAACACGTTATCAGCTATGTACGTCAGTGCATGCCTAATATGGAAAAAGAGAATGTAGCTATAGCCATTACCTCATCCGCCCTCATCATTACTTCCGAAGGCTCTAAACGACAGTCTGTTCGCGTTCACCAAGTTGTCTATCATGTTCTTCAAACCGTCTATAAAGTAACATTCCTGCAACCAGTCGATGAATATTCATTTTTCATGAAACTCGTCAACGTATTTTCTTACATCAGGGACATTGGCGCAGATATAATGAAGTTCTTTCAAGAAACAGCTCCTCTAATTCAGCACTTTGTCTTTTTGTCGGAAAAGGTGAAAGATTATTTTGAAAGGMATCAAATTTTAAARGTRCTAAATGAAGCAAAGCTTTATGGAGTACATTATCAGTGTAATAAACTATTTACCCATCAATACATTCCATTTGCCAAGTTCCTTGTGGAAACTGTTTCTTGTGTATGTAGAGAGCACGGGAAATATAGCACAGCAAGAACATTATGTGAAATAAGCTACTGCATCATTAAAAACGGCCACAAAAGCGAGGAAAGTTCAGGCAGTTCAGTTCGTGTGGCTATAACGTTAAATAATTTAGGATTAGTGTTGGACGAACTTGAAAAACTTGATGAAGCGAAAGATTGTTACGATAAAGCACTGGCAATTTACGAAAGCACTTTCGGCAGCAATCATCCTCAGGTGGCTACAACGTTAAATAATTTAGGATTAGTGTTGGACAAACTCGAAAAACTTGATGAAGCAAAACATTGTTACGATAAAGCACTGGCAATTGACGAAAGCACTTACGGCAGCAATCATCCTCAGGTGGCTACAACGTTGAATAATTTAGGATCAGTGTTGTACAAACTTGGAAAACTTGATGAAGCGAAAGATTGTTACGATAAAGCACTGGCAATTGACGAAAGCACTTACGGCAGCAATCATCCTGAGGTGGCTACAACGATAAATAATTTAGGATTAGTGTTGCACAAGCTCGAAAACCTTGATAAAGCAAAAGAATGTTACGATAAAGCACTGGCAATTAATGAAAGAACTTACGGTAGCAATCATCCTGAGGTGGCTAAAACATTAAATAATTTAGGATTAGTGTTGCACAAGCTCGAAAACCTTGATGAAGCAAAAGAATGTTACGATAATGCACTGGCAATTAATGAAAGAACTTACGGCAGCAATCATCCTAACGTGGCTAAAACGTTAAATAATTTAGGATTAGTGTTCTACAAACTCGGAAAACTTGATGAAGCGAAAGAATGTTACGATAAAGCACTGGCAATTAATGAAAGCACTTACGGCAGCAATCATCCTGAGTTGGCTATAGCGTTTAACAATTTAGGATTAGTGTTGCACAAGCTCGAAAACCTTGATGAAGCAAAAGAATGTTACGATAAAGCACTGGTAATTAATGAAAGAACTTACGGCAGCAATCATCCTAACGTGGCTAAAACGTTAAATAATTTAGGATTAGTGTTCTACAAACTCGGAAAACTTGATGAAGCGAAAGATTGTTACGATAAAGCACTGGCAAT